GGTTTAGGGTTTAGGGTGGGGTGGGGTGGGGCGTAGGAACCCAATAAGGTCTCAGCCTGCTGGCCTAAGAAGCTGCAAGCAGACGTTCAGAGAAGTTGTCAGGGTTTAGTGTTTAGGGTTTATATTTCTTATAGGGTTGAGGGTTTAGGGTTTAGGGTTTAGGGTTTAGGGTTAGGGTTTAGGGTTGTCATGCCTTCTTCTGACCTTCTGTACTCTTGCCTTGTCCCAGGATCTACAGAGCAACAGGTCACATACACGACATGATGCCAAAGACAGTGTGCAGCGCATTTCATGCTAGGCTGAAAGGCCAGTTGCGTAAGAGCATTCACAGGCGCTTGCTCGCAGACCTTTCCGCGCGCCATGTACAAAGGCAAAGGCAAAGGCAAAGGAAAAGTCCGGGACGAGTTCCTGGACTACTGCGTTTCGAGGGTCGACCCCGAAGACAGAGGAAGCTTGCGCCAAAGCCTGCTTCCGCTGTCCCGGCAACTAGCCACGAGGCTGAGATACAAGGATGGGTTTCTGAGAAAGATGGGTATCGACATGGACCAGGATGGGTGGACGGACCTTAGCCAGATTTTATCCTTGGAGGAGTTCGCGCGATGGAACACCAGGGATGTCAAGGAAGTTGTCCAGGAGAGCTATTCCAAAGACAAGCCACGGTTCCAGATTTCGGACCGAGGCAACCGACTTTTCATCCGTGCCTTCCACAAGCGCCCAGGGGCAGAACCCGAGTGGCTGCGCAAAGACCGCTTTCGCGAGCGAACTCCCAGCCCGGGGCCACCGGAGCTTCCTCCTGATCCCTTTGAGGGCAGCGATGATGGCATCACATGCCTCCGACGGAACAAGATGGCAACCCCGGAATGCTTCGATTTGAGCCGAGAGCACTCTGCGGACGAGGATGTGGAGGCAGAGACGGAGACGACTTTGCCAGAAGACGCCGTGCTCTCCTCTTTGGGCGACGAGTGGTTCAGAATCTCTTTGGAGGGCTCCATCTACGCCTGGGTCTGCCGCAGAGGGGATGGTTCTGAGGATGGTTTCGCCGAGCTGAGCCCGGCCCCTTGGGTTCATGTCGACCCTGGCGAAGTCGATGAGAGGCCCTGCTGGATCAATGAGGATAGCCAAGAGTTCTTCTTTGTTGAGGCGGCGGGCAGTGAGTGATGCTGAGGTTTGGAGAGCAGCTACTATGTAGGGCATGTCCTTCCCCACAGTTTTGCGTTCAGAGACGCGAATGTTGAGTGTAGGTGCTCAGGCCTAAGACCTATGTACTCCAAATTCCAGCCCCTAAACCAAGCCTTCTAATTTTGCTGGGCCCTGCTCCGCGTATAAGCCCTGAGCCCCAATCCTATTTAAGCGTAAGAAATAAGTCCTAAACTTAAACAGTACGCCCTAAGCTATTGCAAGCATGTTGTCGATTTCGCCCAACCTTGGAATTGATTCTTCGAAGATACGGCCTGGTGAGGCCAGGCAGCCGACAAGCGGCGGTACATCGGGGTCCCTGACGTGCTTAAAGGATCGTGGGACTTAGTAAGTAGGGTTATGATTAGGGTAACTATACTTATAACCCCAATTCAGGGACTTATAACCTTACTTACTAAGTCCCATGATCCTCCAAGTACTCTTCTTCAATGTGGTGATTTTGCAGTTGGGTTCATCGGTTGCTGTTGGGGGCATGGGACAAGTAGGACCCCGACCTGCTAGCAGTTACGGATGCTGCATGCTGGGAAGCCGGGAAATTTGCCCATGCCCTGGTGCTCGAGCATCTGAGCTACTTATAAAAAAACATGTCGCGACGCGAAGTGTAGCCATTTGTAACTCATGCACCTCGACAGCTCAATGAAAGCTTAAGCCCAAGTACTGTACACCTCCTGTAATCCCTAGCTCCTAAACCCTGGACATCCCTCGGCCACACTAAACCCTAAGCCCCAATAGCTCCCAAAACCTGAAGCCGCCAACAAAAGCCTAAACCCCAAACCCTAAACCCTAAACCCTAAACCCTACCCCCCCAAAAAAAAAGCAAGCAAAAAACAAATATATATATATATATATAGATAACAAAACCAAAATAATAATAATCAAGATAAAAAAAGGCAAAACAAAAAGCCCCGGAGCCCTGCAAGGCTCACAGCTGCCATGGTCTTGAGCTACTCCAGGCGCGTCTGGCTTTCGGCTCCGAACGGGGGGGGGGGGGCAAAACCAGCATCTTTAGGATTTAGGGTTTAGGGTTCAGGGTTTAGGGTTATAATAAGTTATAATCATGGGGGCAAACCAGCATCTTTAGGATTTAGGGTTTAGCGTTCAGGGTTTAGGGTTATAATAAGTTATAATCATGGGGGCAAACCAGCTTCTTTAGGATTTAGGGTTTAGGGTTCAGGGTTTAGGGTTATAGTCAGAATCTTACTGATCCCACTCGCAGACACAGGCAACATCATCATCATGATCACAATGATAATCATACGAACTGGCTTTCGAAAGGTTGCAGCCATCTTCGGAAGGTTTCAACTGCTCGTAGGTTTCGAGGTTTCATGGGCAGGCACGTCTTAAGGGGTTCAGGGCTTTAGGGCTTGGCTTGTCCCTCCTGAGGGTCTGACTGTGGTCATGCGGGGGGTTTAGGGTTGAGGGCGTGGAGGTCTGGCAGTCCTTCAGATCATCGCACTGGAAGAAGACGCACATGTGGGCCCGAGAAGCATAGAAGTAACCTAGGCCTTTGAAAGAACATCTCCCACTCATGTACCTTTCTGTTGGGTTGCATGTCTATATTCAGTACCAATGTTCAACGTATCTTCTGGGGGGGCCTAAATAACTATGGTAGGATTCCGCGGGTTGATGATGCCATAAGTACAGTATGGAATCGAGGGAATGCTATTGGCACTTTGCTCGGTCCTTTACTTGGTCTTGAGATGAACTGCCAACAAGGCCGAAGGCAACAAAAAAGCGGCAAGCCCTTCTAACTCAAGCCATCCGCCCGGAGAGAAGCACCGGATGCCAGGCTCTACGGACCCTCTCTCTGCAGGGATTCGAGTTTCAGCATTTCTCCAGGACCTGGAGGAGCTCGGAGCATGCAGGGCAATGTGTCTGAAAGCGATGCTTGAACTGCGGTCGCTTTCAGACAGCTTGAGTGAAGGCTAATGAACATCGAATCATAGAAGATTCAGAACCTGAGGGACCCCAATGTCGTAGTCGGATGCATGGATATGCATGGGGATCCCCACGGAGTCAGAAGGATTCTCATCTCGCAGAACACACAAGTAAATCCCTAAGCCCGACTTGGAGGTTCATGGGTAGTTATAAGTAGGGTTATAAGTAGGGTAACTATAATTATAAACCATATTAGGGGACTTATAACCCCACTTATAACTACCCATGAACCTCCAAGTAGAGCCGAAACCCTAAATCCCAAAACCCTGAACCCTAAACCCCCTAAACATTAAGTCCCTAAATCCCCTGAACCCGAAACCCTAAATCCCCGTTATACCCATGAACCTCCAAGTAAGCCCATCTTGAAACCCTCAACCCTGTAAATCGTGCCGCGAATCCCAAGGGGGGAACCCAAAAGAGCAAGCCGCCGGAGCCAGGGGACAGCAGCTCCAAGCCTTACTTGGAGGATCATGGGACTTAGTAAGTAGGGTTATAAGTCCCTTAAGTGGGGTTATAAGTATAGTTACCCTAAGTATAACCCTACTTACTAAGTCCCATGATCCTTTAAGTAAGCTGTAAGCCGTACGGCTTGAACCCTAAGGCCGACGTCCTAAGCCCTTTGGCCTCCATCCTTAACTGCAGGTTTAGGGAAAGCCTTCAAGTTACAATTAGCGGTAGTATAGGTTTCCCCTATTATAAGTAGACCTCAATGGAGCTCAAGCATTCCTTAGGGTTTCGAATGGAGCCCACATATTCCTCAGGGTTCCTCACTACAAGTATGTACTTTAATGGAGCCCAAAACTCCACTCGAAGTCGTAAGGCCCACCCACATCAGCTTTGGGGTGTCCTGCCTATGCAGGACTTGGGCGGAGTTCGCCCACGAGTCCGAGCCTGACCGAGGTGCGCTGTGTCTAGGGCTTAGGGTAGCAAGGGTACAGGGCTAGGATTTGGGGTTTTTAGGGTTCAGGTTCTAGGGTTTCGGGTGGGCTTATGGTAGCAAGGGTTCAGAGCTAGGGTTGGGGTTTTAGGGTTCAGGGCTTAGGGTTTAGGGGTTTAGAGCAAAAGGTACAGGGCTAGGGTTTGGGTTTAAGGGTTCAGGACTTAGGGTTCAGGGTTTAGAAGTTTGTGTAGCCAGTCAGAAAGTCAGCCGGCATGCACGAATGGGAGCCGTCGTTGTTGTGGCGGCTCCTGCTCCTACCAAAACGACGAATTGGGCTAGCCGCAACTCCTCTTCCCAATATAGGGGCCTTTATAATTACCTCTAATATTTTGGGGGCTCCTTATTGCAATTATAGTATAATATACCCCAAACCCTGTTCGAATAATTGAGGCCCCTATATTAATTACATGTCCTGCGACTTCTGCCGCTACTTGCTGCCGCAAGTGGCTGCGATCCTCACCATGTCGA